ATTTATAACTAAATGGATGCACATTGAGGCGATACTTTTAAGTGAAATAAATAGGACACACAAGTGTAAATACTGAATGGTGTCTCTAGTGTGAGAAACTGAAAGTGTAAATAAGGACTAAAAGTTATAATAGATAATGTGAAATAGGAAGAAAAGGGGTAAAGGGGAAGGGGAAGTGGGAGGGGTAAGGCAAAGGAAAGAAAGGCCTGGAATTAATATGAGAAAATGAAAAAATAGAAACAAAGTCTTTTTAAATAGGGAGAGATGGAGGGGTTGCAGGCAGGCGAGGGAAATAGGGAAGAAATAAGAACCAAGAGAGATTATGTAAAGGTGTATATTTTCAATGGTGAATTTCATTATATTGTACACCTAAAAATGTACCAATAAAATTAAATTTACAAAAGAAAAGAAAGGCATGGTGGAGCAACACTGCTCATTTCAAGGCAGCCAGAAGGCAGAACACAAGGGAAGAGCACCAGCAGGAGCTATACCCTCCACAGGCACACCCCAGTGACTCACCTCCTCCAACTGGACCCTACCTCCTAACAGCATTTGTAGCTATGCACTCGTCAGTAGATTAATCAACTGTAGAGTTTAGCATCCTTATGATCCAATTGCCTTCCAAAAGCCCCACCTCTGAACACATGACACTTTGTGGGGACATTTTAGATATAAACCATAACATTATATATGTTGTTGGGTAAACGTATTAATTTTAATGCTAGTAGAAATAAGATATTATTTTGGAATCATAAATGCAGTTTGTCCCCTCCCACATACCATTTTTGTCCTTAAGATATATTCTATGAGGGCTATACAGAAAATATTTAATATTTAAATATTTAAAAGTCAATGGGAATAATTTTTTGTGTATGTTTTATTTCCCCAACTTGATATATAGCTAGCTTCATTTACTACATTGGTATTAAAATTGTAAGGATGGTTGATTTTTTCTATTTGACTTAACATGTTCAAAAAGGGGCCATAATTTGTATGTCTTGTTGCTAGGGGGCTCTTTTTTGAATTTCATGGTTTGGTGTTAAATAGCTAACCACCAGGGGTTCAAGCTGCCCAATAGCGCAATCCTGCCTGTACCACTGGTGGTTCAAGAGGGCACACGTGTGTTACTTATTTTTAAGTTCTGAAGTATGGAAATGAGTTATATGATTTTGCAATCAAAACAGCTTTAAAGGGCTCAGTTTCATCAGAAGGGCTTAATTTCATCTCTGTACTCTTCTGAGGGTGGTCATTTTGTCAGTTTTTAATTTATCCTGTCAATGTTTCTTTTTGATAGTATGAGAAAATGTGTACATTCTTCATATTTTCCCTCTTTGTTGCACAAAATGATATATATTCTCCATATTGCCTTCATGCTTTATCATCACCATCCTACTAAGTGTGCTCTCTAGGAAATATTCCAGGCTTTTCATTTCTTTTTAATTGACATAAATGTATAGATATATCATAAATATGCACTGATATTCCCTTGTTTCCATGTACTATAAAGGTATAAAATGATACATTACTTTCAGAGGTCCCTTTGAACCATCAAATCCCAGCAGAATATTCTCTTAATCTTTGTAATATTTATCATATGCCCTGTACATAGTCACTGAAATTGATTCAATAATTTAAAAATTCCTAGTGAGATACATTTTCCTATGTATTTTCAAGTTCCCTGAAGGTAGATACTACATCATTTCTGTCAGCTCTTGCTGAAACTATCTGCAGGGAGTCCTTCCTGATCACAGATTTGTGTTTCTCTTTTCTCTAGCAGTTAGGAAATGGGCATTCTCTACAGAGAAAATAACAGGAGCAAAGGCACAGAAGCAAGACAGCAAGGGGGTGTTGGGTACAGTGGGTCACCCTTCCCTTGGAGAGTCCCCACCTGGAGTGGGGAGAGAGGGGAGATGCATCCCCACTAAACAGTAAGAGGGAAGGCACATTTTATCCCATTCAAGAAAAGTCCTATTGCCAGCCCAAAGGCAAACAAAAATGAATGCATGTATTGATAGCAGACACTCTGAGTTGGACAGAAAGTGCTAAAAGCAAAAAAGTGATGAGGGTCCTAATGCATGAAATTCCTGGACAATAAGCCTTGAATTGGGGGTTGTCAAGGCCTTGTGATTACCCAGGAGAACTCTTACCCTGGATTCTAGTTTCTGGATTTGCTTTTTGCTTCCCATCATGACAGTCTGTTCAGCTTCATCCAGCCTTTTTTGTAAGTCTTTGTCTGACCCATATTCTTTCTCATCCTAAGTGAGCATTGGTGTCTTGTTCCTTTTTCAATTCTTCTGACATGTTTGCTGCCTAAAAAGGAAAAAAAGAGACTGATCTAGTCCCAAAGCCAATAGATCTCTACTTTTCTGCCAATAATTGACAACTCCTGGTCTAACTGCATGTCACACTTTACCTCTGTGTATTTAATCCCTCTCCCCCACCATGGTCTCCCTAACACCTCAGCCAACTGCAAGTTTGTGAATGATAAAGCAATTGAAATAGCAGCAACCACAGGAGAGACTGGGTAAGTAGAAGTGGAAACAGACCAAAGGTGGAGCACCATGTAAACATCATGGTACAACATCTCTGTTTAAAGAAAGATGACCAACAGCCGTAATGGCTTTTAATTAAATAAAGTGCTGGTATATCATTTATTCCTGAATACTGGTGTCACATGCTACACCAGGAAATGTGTGGGAAAGGGCCTATTAATATCTTTTTCACAACTCACTGCTATAATTCTGGAATTCACTACTGTAAACAAGTTAAGGCTCCAAGAAACTGGCAGCAACAGACGTTCTCAGTTCCTACAATCTGGCATGAGAAAGGTTAGTTGTGGAATCTGGTCTTGGCTTTGGCTAGATGCACAAGGGCTAGGTGTCTCAATGAAATTATTAAGAAATATTTCATAAATGATTTCTTAGTGCATTTCATTTAATAACATGACCCCCCCCCACACCAGCCAAACTTTTTCTGGCTATTAGGTTACCATCTTAAGGATTGAGTTTGTTCCCCAAAGGTTGGAATATTAGGAAACTGGTGCTCAGTGTGGTGATACGGGGAGGTGAAATCTTTAAGAGTTGAAGGATAATGGGAGGTCCTTACATCAATCAGGGATGTGTTCACTGCTGGGATTGTGGGAGCCCACTTTCTCTGACTTTCTGTCTGACAATATGACCTCTTTCACACGTGCTCCCTCAGTTGTGATTTTATTTAATAAGGTGTTCACCATGCCTTTAAACCCCAAGAACCATGAGGTAAATAAACCTCTTTTTTCTACCATTATCCAGCTTCAGCTCTTTTGTTATAGGAACAACAACAACAACAACAAACCTAGACTATGACAGAAAGTTACTGAGGAGTGGGATTGTTAATATAGCTATACCTGAAAATATGGAGGCAGTTTTGGAAGTGAGTGACAAGCAGGAGTTGGAAGAGTTTTAAAAAACCAAGCTAGAAAAAGTCTATAATGCTGTGAGCAGAACATTAAGAGTGACTCTGGTGAGGGCTCAGAATGAGGCAGGGAGCTAACAGTACTTTGAAGTAGCCACTTGATAAAGCCAGCAGCTGCACTTTCAGGTAACAAGAAGGGAAAGGAAGCAAATGGTTAATCAAGGGACAAGCCACTGCACTCCTGGAAATAAGGAACCTGGATGCAGAACCTGGATGAGACCCATGTATGTAACTCTATCCTGTCCGGAGATGCCTGCTCCTTGTATTAAAAAATGAATAATTAATGGCATTCCTTTGAGACCTCATATAAGAGAAATGCCTTCTTGTGCCGGGCTGCTGTATTTGTGATGCAACAACTTTGCTGTCCTTTTCTGGGCAGGCTGCTGTCTGTGAAGCAGCCATCTGTGTTTCTTTCCTATAATAAACTTTCATTTTATTTTCAGTTTAGAACTGGCATGTCTGATTTTCATCTTACATGTGGTTATGAATCCACTCAAGCCAGTGACAAGAAGAAGAAAATAAGGAACAGGATCTGATTCAAAATATGAAAACAGTTACCTTTGATAAGCCATAGCAAAGAAACTGGATACAATATTTCTATGTCCTATCACTCTGTGGAAAATTGAAACATAGGAATGATGGACTAATTTATCTGGTGAAGATTTCCAACAAAGCACATAGGCTACTGCATAGATATTATTGGCCCTTTTTAGTCATATTTACTATGAGACGAAGGGACAGAGAAAGAAGACTTGGGAAGACTTGGAAAATCCACAACCTGGCCAGGGAGAGAACTAAAAAGCATGTTGAGTACCAGAGGGAGCAGTTTAGGTCCTGCTAAGATTGGCATGAATCAAAGAGGGCCATGTGCTAATTGGCAAAATAATGAGAAAAGGTTCTTAGGGCCTCCTAGAAATCTTTGAGATTTTCCGTCTCATCACAGGCCCAGGGGCCTGGAGGGGCAGAATAGTTTCCTGAATGCCTAGACACCCTCCATGAGCCTGCCCTGAATTCATCTGGTGAACAATCCAGGGCCACAGCAGTGGGTTAACCAGGCTCAGGCACAGCTCATGTTACCAGCAGACCTTGGTGTCTATATAGTGGTGGTTTTACAATTATGCAGAAACCAAGAGCTATGGGGTTGTGACAGTTTCTACAAAGTTTTCAAAGGAAAGCTTAGGAGGCCAGGCAGAAGATTACTACAGACAGGGTCAAAGCCCCTACAGAGTAGCACTGATGGACAAATACCTAGGGCAACCATTGGAGTGAATCTGAAATAGGATAGAGATCCTCGTGGGTAAAAGAGACAGGATTCTCAGGCCTTAATCCATGAGCCATTGTTACCCACCAAAGTAGAGATACATCTTTTGCCCTATCTTCCCTTGCTAACAATGTCGAATGTGGTCTCCTATGATCCTCTACTCTTAGGGCCAGAACCGGTTCCTGTAACAGCAGAGGGTACCATGGTGTCCCCCAAAATGAGAATAGCTGCTGATCCATATACCAGGAGCAGATCCTGGAAAACATAAGGAAAAAGTCCTTCCAAAAGAGCCATAATCATGATCCAATGGAAAATTACCAGCCCCTAGCCCACCCCAGTGGTGTTATAAAATATAGACACATTCTTTTGTTAATGGGACAATCTGATCTGCTTTGTCAGAGTTATTCAAGCTGAAGTCTCTTATTTTCTCTTACTTTCTAGGTCTGCCTAACAAATTTGCCTATGCCTCACACTGACACATCCTAAAATGCTTTTCTATGACAAGAGATGATGAACTGCTCCACTAAAAGCAGCAAGTAAAGGCTCCAATCTTCTCTTTAAGACCTCATCAGTCCTGTCGGGTGACAGATCCATTGTGCAGACCCTATGCAATGGCTGCTGAGGAAAGCTACATGTAGCATGCAAAACCCAAATGAGAAAGCAATCATGTTGCCTAAGACCAGCAGAGACAAGGGCAGGACTGCTGTGGGGGATGCCTTCACTGAAGTGTACACAAGAGGCCAGACTCGGACCGTGAGGATTAAATGTCTGCTCTGCTAGGAATTGGATTTGCTTTAAGATCATTACTTCCTTCTGTGTCACTATTTTTCTATGTTAGAATGTTTATTCTATTGTTGTCTTGATATCGTACCATAAAATATGTAACTTTTTTTTTAAGTCAGGTTTTGTTTTTTTTTAAGTCAGTTGTTGTTGTTTTTTAAGTCAGGTTTTTATTTTATTTTTTTTACTTTTACAGAGGTTCCCAGCTGTAAGATTTTGCCTTAAGTCTCGGTTGAGACTTTGGAATGGGAATTTTGTGTAATGCTGGGACCACGGGATAGAATGAGCTCATATTGCATTGTGAGAATATGGACTTAGGGTGCAGGGGTAAAATGTTAAGGTTTTGATGTAATTTGTGTGTGTCTTTTGTGTGTTGGGAGCTTAGTTCTCAGTGTGGCAGAGAAGAAAAGTGAAACCTTTAAGAGGTAGGACCTAAGAAGAGGTCCTTAAATCAACTGGGGTATGCCCTCAGAAGGGATTTTGAGAACTCAGTCTCCCTGGCTTCCTGCCTGGCCGTGTGATCTCTTCCTGTCACAGTGATAACCATCCACCATGAGCTCCTCACCAAAGCCAAGATGTTACTAGTGCCATGTCATTGAGCCTCTAAAACAGTGAGTTAAATGAACCTCTCCTATTAGTAAAGTTACCAGATTCAAATATTTTATTATAATAACAAAAAATGAACTAAGATATCAACCATTTATAGAATTGGTGTGAGATATCGATATAGTGAGGACAAAGAATGAAATAGGCAACTCTGGGCTTTGCTATCTGGGTCTGGGAGTTAGAGAAACACTGTTGAAGAATTGGAGGGTAGGCAAAAGAAGTTGTGGGTTTACTTTTTTTTACTATTATTTTTTTGTTGGTACATTTCAGGTATACAACACAATTACATTTCTCATTGGGGACTTGTACCTTTATATGATGCATCTTGGTTCTTATTTTTTCCCCATCCCTAGCCCTCCCTTCACCCCCTCCACCCTTC